AGAAGAGTCATTAATCATTAATTGTATCACACTACCAACCTTTTCATATACCAACATATGTTATCGAAACTGTTATGTCACACATCACGCATAAGTGAGGTATATGGCTGTCTTTGGCAAAAAAAGGTTTTGCTTATAAACTGATGATATCAAAGATATTTAATTAAGACGTGCAAAATGAATTACGCCACACGTGCAGATACAACGTGCAGGGGTGGGGAGGACAGACGCGCACGTGTTCTTTAACAAATGAAAGGAAATACTTACGGAAACAATTTATTTAACAATTTAAGTAAGTTAATGGTTACATTTGTTGAATCACAAAATGCTTTAACATCCACACCATATATAAGAACCTCTGCTTGCTTATAATATCACTTCAGTGAAAATGCCATAACATACATGTACGTGGTACGGTAACAGGTAGCGATGTATTAGCAAGTTAACCACAAAGTATTTAGATCATGAAGAATTCAGCTAACCGTCCTTGTGCAACGTCGAGCCCGTTTTAGTTTTTGCTAACATTCTTGGTAACGTGTTTCCCTTTCGAAAACATGAAGATCTGCCAACAATTTCCAAATTCTACCCAAAAGCAATCTCGGATCTACCGCAAAGACGTTGTCTAACTGACCACGGCATGGCAGGACAGAGTGACAAACGGGCCCTGGAGTCGATGTTGACCGTCGTAACCAGGTCTGCTGTCATTCTGTCTGGATGTTATGGATATGAAGTAGTAACGCTTCAAGCTTGATTCGTATGTCTGCAATTATTGATCTTCCAGTTTCTTAAATATGTATCCATGTATGCTTGGCCAGATGAAATCTTTTAGTGGCGCTTCATATATTATTCCGGTATGGCTGTACCCACAGTACGATGTCTGCTCTGGGTACTATTTATAGTTGGAGAGATAACAGTCACAGGCTGCATTAGCTAATTCTTTTAAGTAATACTGCCACATTTACATTCCAAACTCACAGGAAAGTTAGTCATTCAAGAAACGTGTATATCCACATACCACCCACCTACACCTCTATACGGCCTTTGTATATCTCTATACCACCCATGTACAGACCTATACTGCACTTGTATAGAATATACCACCCATCTACACCTCTATACGGCCTTTGTATATCTCTATACCACCCATGTACAGGCCTATACTGCACTTGTATACAATATACCACCCACCTACACCTCTATACGGCCCTTGTATATCTCTATACCACCCATGTACAGACCTATACTGCACTTGTATACCATATACCACCAACCTACACCTCTAAACGGCCTTTGTATATGAATATACCCACCTATACTCCTATACTACCCTTGTACATCCATATACCACCCATCTACACCCTGTACTGTCCGTAAATATCCACATGTCACTGCCTACATTTCATGCTACCATTGTTTGTCCATATAAAACCTGTCTATACTCCTATACTTGCGTAACCTTATACGGCTTGTCGCGAATATATCCTTGCTTCCACTTATACAACCAGTCAAAATGAAGCGTACCACTATGTGGACCGGGCTGTAATGCTTTGTGACCAAGCTGTGGCATGTTGCCACGATAGCGAAGGCGTGGGACGTTCAATATGATATTAATCACCCGCTTGTTTTTCAGTGTATCAACCTATTATCGATGTATGGAAGGATCGCAGCGACACAGCAAGACTACTACCTACTGCGGCGTTTAACAACAAACAAACTCATTTGACATAACTTACAACTTGTCCACATCGCTACCCTACTGATGTCCATACCGGTAATAGCTTATTTTGTTATACCCAGGTTATAACTAGCTATTCCACCTGTCAACACCCATATAACACACGTCTCCAACCTTGTACGAGGCAAAGCCACCTATTTACATCGTTATTCCTCGTTCATATATAGTCAAACACCATTGTGTCGAAGTTAAAGAGACCTGCGTAAATACTTCGAGTTATCCGAGGTTCGACACAACCAAAAAATATGCATAAAGGAGGAATAAGCATAGACCAATTTTATACTTCGAAACAACCGAAAGTTCGACACAACGGTGACTATATATAAACTGTCCATACTTCATTAGATGCTGAAAGTTTGTCCATACGTCCTTGTGTGCATAAAGATATGTCCATACCTGAGATACCTACATACACTTTTTAATTTTTTTAAATATTTCACTAATAATTCCCATTGCCTACACATCATTATAAATAATTTATTTGCTCTACCCTAGATGCAAAGGTTCATAGTATTGTACATTGCATATTCCACGATGCATCTTATTTCAATGGTTTGGTTGATATCAGTAATGATTATAAATTATTTGTGTATCACGAACAATGCGCAAATGAGAAGGAAGTGATAGTCTTTTTCGCTCCATCCGAACTTTCGCATTTTGTGTATGCCTTCTCTGCTATCCATTCCAACGGACCCGTGAAGGATCCGGGGTAGAATAGGTCTTCAGCAACCCATACTTGCCGTTAAAGGCGACTGTGCTCGGGATCGGGTGGTCAGGCTCGCTTACTTGGTTGATACATGTCATTGATCCCAATTGCGTGGATCGATGCTCATGATATTAATCACTTGATTGTCTGGTCCAGACTCGATTATTTACAGACCGCCGTCATATAGCTGGAATATTGCTATGTGCGGCGTTAAACAACAAACCAACCAACCAACCAACCATTCCAACGTGTCGTCCTTTTTTAAGTTGAAGGTCAATGAAAACAATCTAAAACGGTCCATTGTGATACGGAATTGCTACACTTAGCACAACAAATGAAGTACTCCTCGATTTTTTTTCTGTTCGTCATTGAAATGAATTAATTAGTAATATTTAGGCTTATCTAAATTCCAGCATTAAATAAATTATAGAAACGTCGAAGTTCATAATACATTGTAAAGGCAGCTATCAGATTATAGGTACTACTATATTTATTTGTAGAACCATTTTCCGGTTGCCATGGTAATGCACAAATAATTGATAGACGCAAATAGATTTTCTTCGGATGCTTTTTGAACAGTTTCTTTAAATACGTATATATATACTTTCTTCAAAGATGATTCGACTTTATCAGCAACTGTAATTGCTGCACATGTCCGTGTTTGACAATGTAAACTACGCATTTCAATTCAACTAAAAGAATCAATAGTCAGCGTTTTTCGGAAACATCACTGTGCACCGATATGTCGCTGTAACATTTGGATCGTTCACAACATTTACCTGAAATAGAAAAAAAATAGTCTGCCATAAAAGATGCAAAGTTGCAAAAATATTTAGTCTCATCGTTTAATTTGAAAAATATCTGGTTTGACAGCTGTACATGTAGCTGAAAATATACCAAAGTCAGCTCGTTTTCCAAAGTAGTCATCAATCAACCTTTGATCTTGTCCATCTATGAACTTAAGCACGAATTTTCTGGCAATCAGTCACATATCAAAACATATATGTTCATAAGTGAATGTTGTTTAACGCCGCACTCAGCAGTATTCTTGCTATATGATGGCGGTATGTAAATAATCGAGTCTGGACCAGACAGTACAGTTATTGACATCATGAACATAGATCTACGCATTTGGAATACAACCACCCGATCCCGATAGTCGACTCTTACGACAAGCATAGCATCCTTTCGGTGCCTGGTATACATCGTCCAGACCCAGTTATTTACAGGTCGCTGTCATATAGCAAGAATAATGCTAAGTGCGGCGTTAAACAACATTCCGTTATGAACATATATGTTTTGACATGTGTTTGATTTATTGAAATTCTACTGAGTGCGACGTTAAACAACAAACAAACAACCGAAAGGATGCTCAACGATCTTCACCATCGGACATGTAACCAGACAGGTCAACGAGCCTGATGACCACCTGATCACGTTAGTCGCCTCTTACGACACGCATGATAGCATCCTTTCGGTACCTGGTTTTAGCCGTCTCTTACGTTAAGAATGGGATATTGGTGGCCCTATTCATACCCGGAATTGCCAAGTCTTATTGCCCACGTAGATAAATGTATTGTATGCTACTCAAACAGAGTCATGACAGATTAACGACAGTCATATAAACAATGGGTGTTCTATAACTTCTTTTGAGTAGTGGGGCGGTCGGGTAGCCTAGTGGTTAAAGCGTTCGCTCGTCACGCCGAAGACCCGGGATCGATTCCCGACATGAGTACAATGTCTGAAGCCCATTTCTGGTGTCCCTCGCCGTGATATTGCTGGAATATTGCTAAAAGCGGCGTAAAAACATACTCACTCACTCACTCACTTTTGAGTAGTCTTGGAAAATACAAACTCATCTCACATGTGCTCAAGCGAAATCATTAGGAGCTTATCACAGTAATGGAATTACGTACTGGTGTGAGCAACTTAACCCAACATGCGGTATCACATAGTTATTAAATTATCAAACGCCGCAAAAAGAAAATTGGCACCAGGCATTCGAAACTATCCAAAAATATCCCTTAACTGTTAAACAGGATTGGAATGTCTCCTTCAGTGAGACAAATAGTTTAAAACTTCTCTAATTGTACGGCTTGCTATTCACCAACAGACGGAACATATTGAACGCGTGCGATAACGATCGGGTCATGGAGGCCCTTAGTCGAAAAACTTCTGGAATTGCTGCCTTCAAAGGGTGTGTGTCTCCCTGCCCAGACGCCTACTGTTTCTACCAGGCAACAGTCACGCCAACAGATCCCTTTACCCAAATTAGAGAGTTTCCAAATTTCCCTGAAAAACAATGATGTTTATTTAATGAAACCCTAACGATTTTGGGTAACTGACTCGATTTGGAGAAGAAGTGTTCTGTTCACTTGATTTTCAACCGGATTGTCGATTGTATAATCTAATCATCCTTTTCCTGACAAAGGACCTCCACTGTGAATTGCACATGCCCTACAGAGGAACCATGACACTGTCCCAACCGAAGTCAATCGATATTGTTTGATCTGGACGCGTGTGATGCAAATTAACTCCAAATATTGAACACTGAGCATGGGTCTTCACCGCTAGCGTTATGCAGGTCGACTGGGAGTTCCATGCTTGTTATTTGCCGCGAACCGTGCAGAAGACACTTCAAGTACCTCCCATCGGTCGATAGTTGAGTTTCCACGTTTTCATGCTGAACCGGTTCGGAGATTCATTTTACGGTACGACTTCATGCCAGCGGGCGATTGCTACAAATTAGAAGAATATTGTCCACTTTTAATTGGCGATAACTTGTAGCAGAAGGCTCAGATCGTGCCTCGAGTCGTGGAGTAGAGAGCACGTTCAGTACGCAACAGACTGTTGCCTAGGTCTAACGCGCTGGTATCGGGCTTTGTTGCATTGAGGAAGTCCCGAGACGATAAGACCTATCGTATTGTGTCTTAAGAACTTCCGCGCTTCGTGAAGCATATACTTGTAGCTATCGTCTTTGAAGTTGCAGCAAGATATCGTCTAGTGTTTGGACCGGGCCGACCGCTACTCCACTTCCATGAGATAGATAATTGGCTGTGTTCTATCTTCGCGAACACTTACTCCGCTTGTAGCATTGATTAATCATCTCTGTGACAGATAAGAAGATTTTGACCCAAAGTAGATGATTTAATATAGCGGATTGTGTAGCACTGTGGACTGTTTTTCTGCAGGATATTCGGAACTCCAAAGACAAGCGTTTCGATTTACTTGTCATTACACCAAGCTACGTATGTTTAATAAAATACGCCAGTTATTGGATACTCGTCTAACGACACAGTGAGTCCGTTGTATACGCGGCTCTCAGCGCAGACGGTATGAGAATGCGCGAAGAGAGCAGCAGACGATAGATTGAATTCCCAGAGCTCGAGCAGACGACAAACGATTCGAACTCGGAAGGTGCACATTAAGGTCGCTGTCGGATGTACCTGGCCCAAGGCATGTCTGCGAACTGAACACTCCTCATAGAAGTAATAACTACAAATTCAAGCATCACAGACGACAGTTTTTTGGTCGATGGATAATGAAATGACAAAGTCGAGATGACATAGCTTAACAGTCAGAGTGCTCTCGATGTGATATGATGTCCTGACGTGTATGTGTGGAGAGTAATATATCTCGTTCGTACGAACACAGACACCCAAGCCATGGAGCCTCACGCCCAGATGATCCTGATCCTCTTCATAGGACTTATGCGGTTTTGTTTAACACGTGGGGATTTTCATGCCCCGTGTTACGGATGCCGCCTGTTCAACATCGTCCACAGGGAACACCCGGAAATCTCTGTACGTAAACCGGTATGTACCTCATTCTTTTGTAGCCACATTGAGCATATTGACAACATGCTTTAATGTCATTGTCACGACAGCTCTCGTATTCGGTTTGTCATAACATGTAAGAGAACATTCACACATTTGAAATTACATACGAGTGTACTGTGGTAAACGACAGGTGTTAACACAATAGTGATCATGTCAGACTTGACTATAGCAAGAATCATGTGGCAGATTTTATATGCAGAGCCAGGACAGGTAACGAGGACCGTGGTGTTTGTTACCTGTTGCAACAACGGAAATCCATAATTAAGGTACATGAACATCTATTGTATACCATAAAATCAGAACAAAATTCGTCCATCAGCATGATCATGAGTTGACGTACACACATCTTATTTAGTACCCATGATTAGAAAAGTGATACTGTGACTTTTGCTGGCGATTAATTGACAATTCCGTCAGAAAATCGATGAAGGGAATAACAGAATACATAAAATGAAGCCATTTCTCAGATATTAATGTCTTTGTGAGATTTTCTTATTTGTAATGTGACATATGTAAACTTTAATATAGAATGCAAAATGTCTTCGCTATGAGAGATTATTACGGCAGATTAAAACCAGACTGATTTGATTAATACCAGGAAGACATTTTCATCTCAGGTTGATATTTTCAACTTCAAACAAATCTATATTTCATTGATTCCTCATAAAGGACTCGGAATTAAGACTAACCGTTGGTATATCTCGAGGACTGATTAATTATTGTTTATGGTTGACATTAAAATGCAAACGTAGTCTTCTTACACTTCAAAGGAAACTTCAGTTCTGGAAGAAACAAACTTTTTGTTGCAGGTAACTAATGTTGTAACGTTGATACATTCAATCGTTTTAAACAGTCAGCAATATGTACTATGTACCTGAAAATGTCAGTGATAACTTACCCGTAACGATTCAGGTTACAATTGGACTTCAGCAGACCATGCTTTCTGGTGATCAGTCTTACCCGTGTCTCAATTGCGTATATCGATGCTCATAATGTCAATCACTGGATTGTCTGTTCCAGACCCGATTATTTACAGACCACTGTCACATAGCTGGAACAATCATAAATATATATTTGTTTTCAATAATCCCGCTTATTGACAGCGATATCCTAATATTCTGTCTGACACAAGATGCAAAACGACCACGTGCAAGCCTTTAATAAAACGTGTTGAACGAGTAAGCCTGCTTATTTCTACAATTGAGCAAAATCCTTGTCATCTTGCATATAAAGGACATATAACCAAACCGATAGGCGTTGCAATTCACGTATAATGTACCAATGAATCACAATAAGGCTACACCGTCTAGTTAACTTACATGTAATGGGATTGATTCAAGAGGCAACAATTAGATTACACGCCTCCTTCCATAATGAAAAGGTCGCAATAACATTTCTCTTATTTCACCAACTAACAATAAGAAACTCATTCACGTTGTACCACTAACGAACACGAGACTATAGAACGTGTGAGGTTGCGAATAACACGACTCGTTTAACCTTGAAGATTTAGCCGTGCCTCCTTTCAATTCCGTGCGATCGGACAGTCAATCATGAAGACGAATATTATTGATATTCTTGGTTAGGGAAACTCTAGCTGCCGCGTGAAGATTCCCCCCATCTTCTGGCAGCTTTATTGGAAAGGAAAAACTTTATGGTTTTTCGTGTCCCAGCAATCTCGTATAGGTTAGATTTCTGTCTTAACTTACTTTTGGGGTCTAGCCGCTGTCTGCGATATCTAGGTCAAGAATTATATTAATGAATAAAGTGACACGGTTTCGATAATACAAATTATTGGATTCCCCGGCGGTAGTATGAATAGATCACTGACACTTGCTGTACAGACGTAAGCACTTACCATACACGGAATCGATGTGTGGTTGTGTGTTGTGGGAGGGGGTGCACTATCCGAGATTAACCATCAGAATTAACCGCTTTTATCGGAACAAAACAGTTACGTCTTGATCGTTTTATGGTAGATGCAATCGGGTAATTGATAACAATGCAGGGCCATGTATTGATGCCAAGGTAAAGAATTGCTTTAAAATGAATATTTGAAAGTCATGGTATAATATAGTGAGCAATCAAGTTGATGACAACCACGTCATTATGAGATTGAAAGTCGTTATCAAGTTAATTAAATATATTTTTGGAATGTATTTTCGACAAATCTGCGACAATAGGACACAACACTGCCCCCAAAGTGTCTCTTATATAGATTAACTTTGTTTTAGTTTGGGTTTTTTCTTTGAGCGATTATGTTTCTACTAAACTGTTAATCTTTTACCAGCAATACCATAGAGAATGAGTTTCAAACGGTGTTCCTATGTTGGCAATCGAACCCTGCCAGCCGTCCCTTTAATACCCATGCTTCCCATCCATTAACGTTCAATAATGGTCAAGTAGCCAATTCACTTCCACTGAGCTAGAAATAAAGGAGGCCAGTGAATCCGCCTCATCTGATTCATATTTAGATCTATACCTAAAGATGACAAAGAGCGACACACAACTACCCACAAGACAGTATGGCAGCAATATTCCAGCCTTTGGTTTCTAATTTCACAACTTTGGAGATACAGTCGATCATGTTCTTTCCAAGACGATTTCAAAGGGCGTCATGCGACTCGTGAATCAAACACTATTTGATCAGGGTGGCAACATTCAAGGCATTACTAAAGATTTCAATAAATGTCCAAAATGATACCCGATGCAATTCCCTATTTTGACTTGAACCATATGTTAACCGAATTTTGTGGTAAACAACTGACTTGCCTTTGCATGTGTTTTTGAGGTGTGCCACTTGAGGGGCAGGATACGCTCACCTTTTCGCAAACACCTGGTATCGTGACTGTCAGCATTATGGTCCCTTAACACATGTTCATGACACAGTTGGAATTGTAGTATAGAGTATGATTGTAGCAGAGATTTGTTACGATTATTGAAAGGGTTTTGTCGCCTTTTTTACCATGAAATTCTGTAACATACTATATATGTTTTTTGTATGATATACACCATTTATTTAAATTATTTACTTTCTAGAAAATGGTTCAGCGAACACTTTTATATGTTTTGTTGTTATTCTGCATCCGAAACCATTGCCGATAAAACTGTTTCGGTTACACAAAACAGGCTTCATTGTATTTATTCAAGGCTCTGTATATGTGCATATATAGTGACTATCTCCCATTCATTCATGTCTGTCTCCGAACTAAACGTTGCACTATAACAACACTATCGGTGGCGTTGAATGGTCATTGTGTCTTTATTTGCCGTTTGAAGTCCTTCAAAGGGATTTTACTTCCAGAATAATGGGCAATTGAGATGATATGTGTTTAGTTACATTTGGTCCTCACTGCAATCTGACTCCTCACTCTATCACTCCTTCTACAACCAGCTCTCCCTTCGCAGCCTCGTCCACCAGATTTGACCTTCACTTGGCAAGAAATAATAATAAATTTGTATCCGCTCGTCCTCGACTCGACCCGGGTTAGATTTTCTAACGGTAAAACTGATTCTCGGAGTTCCACGTCATGGTATTGCTGTGATATTACTATGGACGACATAAAAAAAGATAGTTCAACATCATGCCATATGTTCTTATATTTAATCTATAAACACCGACAGCCCACACCTTGACAAATTCAACCCATCAATAATACATCGACGTTGGCTCATGGTTCATATCGACGACCGTTATCGTGTATAATTATTTACAGCACAGCCCAGTTGCGTTGATCAATGCTCATGATGTCAATCACTGGATTGTCTTGTCCAGACTCGATTATTTCCAGGCCGCCGTCATATAGCTTAAATATTGCTACGTGCGGCGTTAAACAACAAACAAACGTACAAACATTTACAGCACAGCATTCTGTGACAGGTTGGGTTGGTTTGAACAGCCTAACGTTCATAATTAAACATGTACAGTGATACCAAGTTAACTTCGATTAAGTTGTCGAGATTTGTAGAAGACACTTTAAGGTTCAACAACATTCTTGACGACACTTGTGTATGATATAGATACTCGGTCTGAACCTCGAACTACCGTTAACTTGAGTGAACGAAAATACACTGTATTATATAACACAGTTTTCGAAGCCAAACGCCTTCTAATTCGATGAATCATGAGTCACCTATATTGCTAAGCGCATGTTGCGTGCATCTGTACTGATTACAAAGGAGATATTCCTGGTCCTTTGTTAGGGTATTGATAATCGTTTATAGACACGATGCAAGTGGGAACATTCATTATTCAGAAAAAGTTACATACACTCTTCAAAAAAAGAAACGCACAGGTAGTATGTTGTTCACTGAACCTGACTACACACAAAATCCGGTATATAAATTAGATATATGTTATTGGAAAATGTTGATGGCCTGATATTCGGTGCGTCAAAACGCAGCCATTGTCGATTTGCAGTGTCTTATAGGGCATTGTTTTCACACTTGTTCAAATATGTATGGAGGAAGACAGTAAAGCAAAAACATGTCCAAGTTATGGCATTCATAACTCGTGGTAGTGGCTATAAAAAGGTAAGCATAAGCCAATAATTTGTCTTTCAATTGTCAACTTTATTCAAGTTCGAAAATGCCGAGACTCAGCGCTACCGATCGGAACACCGCCATAGGACATATCCAAAGAGGGGAATAGCAGTCTTCTATTGCACGCCACTTCAACGTCCACCACAGCACCATTTGCCGCCTTTGGGACCGATACACACAGTTCAATTCCACTGCAGACCGTCAGAGAACCGGCCGACCAAGAGTAACTGCACTAGATCGCTACATTGGACTGTTCCACCTACAATGTACGTAATCGCAATGCCACACCTACGGAGACTGCAGGCCGCACCCCTGGTTTGAGGAGGATATCGGACCAGACTGTCAGGAACCGTCTTCGCGAGGCTTGAATCCGATCCAGAAGACAAGTTATCGTCCCTGTTTTGCAACAGATCCATCGACAGCGACACTTGCGT